GTCAAACTAGGTGCTTTATGCAATTTTAACATTTTCTAATAAAGATTTCTCCTGATGAAAACTCTGAGACAATCCTTGTTTACTTGTTCCTTCAACTATAGACCTAGCCTGTAGTTGAGCAATAACAAGACAAAGTGAAAGTGGCAAACTAGAGGTGTGTTACTATTATTATATTATCATTATTATTATTAATTATTATCTTGGTTTTTGTTTCGCCTTGTTTTTTTTTTTTTGTTTCTTCAAGACAGGGTTTCTCTGTGTAGCTTTGGAGCCTTTCCTGGAACTCGCTCTGTAGATCAGGCTGGCCTCAAATTTAAAGACAGAGTTCCGCCTCCCCTGCCACCCGAGGGCTGGGATTACAGCATGCACCACCACTGCCCAGTTGAAGGGCATTACTTCAGCATATGAAGTATATGAAAGAAAAGGGAAAAAGCATGCAACGTGAAGACTTTCTAGAAACCGGAGTTACAATTAAGGGTGATGGTTAAGTACCATAAAAAACACACGTATCCTTCCAAAGTGAAAACCCTAAAGATTAAGTACATAGTTCAGAAAGTTTGAACGGCTATATCCCCAAGTAGCATGGTCTAAGGAATTTGGCGTCTACAAATGCGCTCATAAAGACGCCTCTCACATTTCTACTCTATATATTTCCAATATAACACTAAGTCCCATGCACACCGCATTAAAATCAGCAGACACTATAATCACAAATTTTAAATGTAATCTTGACACTCTAATTTAGACCCTGGATTTTTCCAAGCTATAATCAATGAAGTATGAAACTAATCAAGTCACTGGACCTTGTAATTCTGCTTCAAAAATCTGTTTCATGCATTCATATTTTATAATTAATAATTGTAGTAATAAAAATATTCAAAATACATTTTAATTTCAGAAGCATTTCTGGAAAAGTTAGATACTTTTGGATCACGAAGAACTGTAAACATCAAATCAAATAAAACAGCTAACAATAAGGGCTGCTTCATGCTAACCAAATGTGCCATTTTATATGGCCTGGTAAAACCAATAAAATGAAAATAAGATTTTTAAAAAGCCAGGAAGTAAAAGAATGGCAGTCAGCAACTGTGTAGAGAGAAAATAGGATTACATTTATTGGGTATTATATCAACTTAACTTCCCATAAAAAAAAAAAAAACCTCCTGATCTACTTAGTAACTTCAGAACTGAAGTATGCTCTCCAAAGGGAGTTGTAAAACAAATTAGATACAATTACAATTCAATACAAATAAAAAGCCAAACCATTTACTCTTAAGAGGTCTCATTTTATAGCTTCACCATTTAAACTAGACCAGATTTTCTCCTAATCGATCAAGCGGGCCACTTGGCATAAGCAGAGGTTTTCTAGTATGTTCTCCACAGAGAAAAGGAGATGATATGAATACATCCTGGAAAACTGCAGCAACCACATCTCCCTAGAGCGAATGCAATAAACATCTGCTGGAAGGACTGCCTGGCCCTTCCAACAGCATATAGGGTGTTCTTTCACCCAGATTTTCCCAGGGTGTTTGTTTTGTTTGGCTTTGTTAAAAGGCAATGTATGTGTCTACTACTAATTCTCAAGATAGAAAACCTCAAAATTCTGGTGAGCTGAGCAAATCACGACCAGGTATATTATAGAAAGGGAAGATAGGCTGCCTACAAGATCCCACTTGTTTCTCAAAGGGCAATGAGATAGCTGGGCACGTTGCCCGCTTGTGGGTTATGGAGTAATTTTAGCCATTGTCTTCCTTTCTTAATTCTGTGCTCCACACAGCCAGCAACGTGCACAGCCTGAGATGGGGCTCAAATATTTAACTTCCTGATGATATCTATCTCGTTGGAGTCCTGGCGACCTTTCTCCTGAGTCTCACTGGCTTCCATTCACTTTTGAGTTAACAAACAAGTGAATTCTTAAATTTTACTTGAGTGACAGGACAAATCCTGGCACATTTCCCCCACAAAACACGAAACATAATAATTTTCCGGAAGAGAGGAATCACCAAGCCAAAATGTACACACTTTTTCTTGACCGTTAGTGTGTCCTATTAAATGAAAGCATCTCCCTTGATTTTTGAGCAGAACTTCTCTCTTAAAAGTCACAGATACTTCGCAGGGTAAAACACTATCTTCTTAACACTCCAATGCCTTACCAGCTTATACACAAACCCGCAGGCACAGAAAAACAAAACACTGGTAAAGCTGTATAAGACATGGAACATATGGTATCTTAACGAAAGGGAAGAATAGCAAAGAGATGACCATGTCTGAAGATATTTCTAAATTCATGCCTAAAATATATTTCAAGTAACATGGGACTCTGTTTGCTTTATAATTTCCTACCCAGGCCTGCTGTTTCCAACCAGTCTGAGGATATTGTTTATACAACACGGAGGATCCAGTTTCACAATTCCATTTTTATGCTAACAATAAGGTATTGATTTAATTCTGAAAACATTCCTGAGACTATTTCAACCAGGTATTATATAAACACACCATAGAGAGTAACCTCCTTGCCATCAAGAGAAAGATGGGATGTTTCCCATGTTTTCTTTTCTCAGCCGAACCGAAGCCAGGGTGAGCAAGCACTTCATTGTGCTCCTACAAAGTTCAACGTCTTTGTAGGAATTCAACCCCCACAAATCCTTCCAAATGCTCTGCTAACATGTACCTATAGGGTGTATGTTGATACAACCACAAGGGAAAGAGCTTTACCTTCAGGACCTTCAGTACCTTCAAACTGAAGGTACAATACAAACTGAAGTTCAAAACAAACTGGTATTACATAAATTCTATTTACAAGCAAAATATTCTAGGAAAATTAATTTAAAGTTGATACAAGTGGGAAGTAAAATGAAGTTCTCATGCATTCTAGTATATGTACAAGTTGGAGATTATTTTCAAAAATATCTATGAATATTCAATATTTATAGACATCAGTTGGTGAATCAAAAGTGAATACTTGTGCTTTTTCTTTAAGGTGAAATAGCTAGTTAACATACACAAAGAATACTTAGAAGGAATTAACTGCGAGAAGCTTCTTTTATTCAATGTGAGTTTCTCCTACAGAGGGTTATACCATGGGTCATATGTTAAGTTTATCTGCTGGGGTTGAAGAAATGGCTCAGTGGTTAAGAGCCTGTACTACTCTTCTAGAAGATACAAGTTCAGTTCCCAGGATCTGATGCCTGTAGCCTCCAAGGGCATCTGTACCCACATTCACAAACCCACAATTGAAAATAACAAAAATAAATCTTAAAAAAACATGTTTGTCTTAGCTATCTGATGTCTAAGAAAAAGTTTACTTTTTCCCAAAAGAAAGCAATTCTGTCAGATCCATATGACCTACATCGGAGGGAGTCGAGGTTGGGTTGGTACTCGCATCTACCTCTGCATCACACTGACATATCATACATGTCTTTTACACACACATAACTATATTGTCTATCTGTACTGTAAAATAACAGTTTCCACATCGCCTTCGAGAATGACGATATACTCCGAGTAAAGCACCTCACAGCATAAACAGATTTAGCTCTGGTAACAAGCCAGCACTGCATTCTAGAACATTCCCTCTACAGACAGAAAGCCTCATGGCAAGAAGCTAACACATGGAACAGGTCCAAGAGGCACCCCAGTTGCAGTGCAGGGCATTTTCATGGTGACAACCAAATGGGTATTTTTCTTTTATCTTTTCTTTCCTTCCTTCCTTCTGTCCATCTGCCCTTCCTTCCTTCCTTCCTTTTTCTTCTTCTTCTTCTTCTTTTTTTTTTTTCAAGGAGGGTTTCTCTGTGTATCTCTGGCTGTCCTGGAACTCATTCTATAGACCAGGCTGGCCTCGAACTCAGAAATCCGCCTGCCTCTGCCTCCAGAGTACTGGGATTAAAGGCCTGCACCACCACCATCAGCCTGTTATTTTCTTTAATTATTATCAAATATATTTTCCAGAGTCTGTAAAGTAAAAAGGTGGTAAGTCTTGACTGCTGAAGGAGGCAACTCCAGATAGCTCTGTGGGCTGAGTAGTAATCACTGCTTCGGCGGTTCTTGTTTTCGTTTTTAAACAAATGAGAACTATCTCTACACAGGCCCTCTGCCACTTAATACTGCAAAATTAGAAAAAAAATACCCAAATTAATCCTATGCACTTAGAACAATTTATTGAGAAGCCAGACGCAAGAACGCTATTGGCCACAGGTCCACACTAAATGTGAGGGAAGGCTGGAACTGAATCCTGCTGTGCTCTTGGCTCCTTATCTACTTTTTCAAACTGTAGGCAACAGCACTCCTATTAATAATTTTAATACTAAACCACTCGGGCTGTTACAGCTTTCCGAAGGAGAGGAGAAAAGACATCCTACAGAATCCGGGCAAATACATCAGGAGGTTTGAGTCCACTGTCCCTGAGTTATAATCTATTTACATATTATTTCAGTGCTAGAAATCAGAAACTTGGCTCATAGTGGCACTGTTTGCCCAGAATAGTCTCGCACTTTCAAAGGACAGAAACAACCTAAGAAATGCAATTAGGTGAGGAAAGAATAGAGCCATATTAAAATAGATTTGGTGGCATGAAACTTGCAAGATAAGACATCAGTTTTTCAGCCACACCAAGTATTTCAGAGGAGTAAGAACAGAATATTTCAGATCAAGTAATGTGTGGAAAAACAGACAGTGTGTCCCTCTGAAAGGTGGTGGAGAGGGGTTAAATTAAAATGCTGTTAATTAGGCCTTTACCTCTTCAAAATAAAAGAGAAAATACTCAGGCAAGTCTTCCAGTTTAAAAAAGAATTTGTGTTTTACAAGTAAGATCAGGAATATAAATATGTGTTATCAGAATGATAACTGGCATTCTGCTACCTGTGCTAATGATGGGGGAAAAGAGCATGTCCCACACATTCATGATTATATGTCTTCCTAGATTCCAATGTGGCGGCACTGGTTCAATAAACAAGCAAACCAACCAAGCAGACGGAAGAGTAACACGAATGGAACATGCATACCTCTTGCACCGAGCGGGCTGCGGGCTTGTCTTGATGATTGGCCAGTATTAAAAAGGGCAAAGTGCATAGCTGCGGGTGCTGAAGAGCAGAATGCAGCTCATTTCTGGCCGTTTCTAAATCGTCCTCTGAGGAGGCACTGTCTAAGACGAATATTACTCCTTGGGATCCTTGGTAGTAGCGGCTCCAGTATTTCCGGATATTATCAGCTCCTGTCAAAACAAAATCAGAATCTATTTCAAATAGTTCTCATCAACGTAAGAGCGCTCCAAGTAGCAATTCCGACTGGAAACTGATGTGTCTTTTCAAACATGAGTGCTAAAGTCTGTGGTACAGAACAGTCCAGGAATATAAGAACTACACACCACGTAAGTAAGGGCGTTATAACCACTGGGCAGACACAGTCATGAAGCAGAACAGACGTCTAAATTGTTCTTCATGCTTTTCTATCAAAATAAATAAGAGATGATCAGGATAATGCTTCTTTTATTAAAACCAAAAGAATGTTTGTAGACTCTGTGTATCAGTCCTAATGAACTACACTGTCCACAGAGTGACGTCCAGACCCAAGAGAGCAATGTGACTAAGACATTTACCAAGTATCTTAAGATCCCACTTCTGTTAAGTTTGGTGGTGGTTTTTAATAGAATAATGCTATGCTTGGTTTATTCCCCCAGGGCTCACATGACGGAAACTTAAGCTTTTAAGTTTATGTTGATGCTACTTGGAGCTGGGGCCTACAGAGGTGATCAGGGTTAGAGAAACAAGGGCGAGGGCCCCATGACGACGGCTTTACGACAGGAAGAACGGACAGTCACACTTTCCCGCTCAGTCTCTCTGACCACTGATGTCTGCTGCTCCATCAAGACAGAGTGTGACCCTCACCAGATGCGGAGCTTCAACCTGGGACTTCCCTGCCTCCGGGCCTGCAGTAAATTTTTTTTCGCTAGAAATTGCCCAGTCTGTATTTTGTTGTAGCAACAGAAACTGGACTGAGACACAGAGCTGAGCCGCCTTGTTTAACTTCACATCGAGAGTTATTAGCATAATAACTTTTTATGTCAAAATACTGAAATTTGCGAACCACTAAAATCTTGGCCTTTCATGTATGTGTAAATCCACTTGGGTTTACTACTCATGAGGAGAATGAAAAGGTAACTGAGCGCACTCATGGTGTCAATGGGACATGGTGTTTAGACGAGAGGTTTGAGAAGGGCAAACCTTGGTATTTCTAATTGAACTGTGTTAGTAGCCAGTTTGCCCAGGAAGGACCCAGGCATCTCCCATTATACGGTAAGTCCCTTTATTTCTTTGTTTTGTGAAAGCGAGGGGCTCTCTGTGCGTATCTGCAGTGAACAGAAGGGATGCAGTTGGCTATATAACAAGAATTAGATAAGTAATTTACTGATCTGCAGTGTATGATCCAGTCCTAATCAGGTGATAACTATGTTTTAGTCATGCATTGAACATTTAGCTTCCACGTGTGACATACTGTGCTAAATGTAAGGGACCCAAACATTGCAGGCTAGAGTTGGGGTACAAAAGCCACTTAGGCACATTTCTTCCCAACTCTGTGTTCGAAGATTTCATATTAGCAGCTTCTACCGGGGTGGGGGCATTTTGGCCGTGGAAGATGGCCTGGCCTCTGCTTTCCCTGGCAAGCCAACACATTGCTGGGTAAAACTGAGCAGCTGCTATTTTCCAAGGGAAATAGGAAATCTGAAGGCTCTAATAACAGTTTGTTCAAGGACTGGCACCAAGGTGCTCACCTAGAACAAGGCAAAGAAATTACAAAATTAATACATGTGAGAAGGTCGCTAACTTACTATACTCTCGCACAATGCTGAGTGTTGAGACTAGATCATACGATTCTTACAATAGCTAAGGGACGGAAGTATAACTGACTTAGGTTCTGCAACTAATTTTCCGATCCTAAAACAGGGTAAGTCACCATTACAACACAGTGAAATATCAAAGGATGTAAAAGCATCAAGGGCATCCAATGAGAAATGGTTAAATAAGCAAACGGGAAGGATATGAACAGAGCTGATACACATTAGAAAGACTGAATTAAGAAAACAAAAAAATCAAGAGCAAGGAAATTTAAACCCTAGATTGGGTGATGTGTGAAATTCATTGCTTAAGCGATGGAGAACCAATAAAACAACAGAGCAACAGAGATTAGCCACATCTAAGGTGAGGTTTCCTAAAAGCACAGCCTGAAATGGCCCTTCTAGCACCTATGATTATAGAAAGAATGCTTCCGAGAGAAGTCAGGGGTGAAACATGTCAACTGGATGGGGGAAGAATCTTGCTGAAGATCTGACTTCAGCTATTGCACCCCAGCTTAATCCTCCAAGGAGCTCTTAGAGTCTGGACTGAATCACATAAAGATGTCGAGTCCAGAGGCCAGGATATCTCTGCACAGTTATTGGCTAAGAGCCACCCCTGGGTACCTGGAGGGGGTTGGGACCAGATCTCAGAATTATATCTGGCTGGGGAGGTTACTATCAGCCAAGAGTGGTCCTCTGGAGAAGGGTACAGGTGTGCGTCATTAGCAGCCAATACCACAGCAGCTGGGAGATGGATGCACTGGCCCAGCAAAGGAGATCTGCGTATGATACCAACAGCATCTGTTACAAGCTAAATCCAGACACTATCCATATGCTAGAAACCCATCCATAAGTCTGGGAGACAAAAGTGACAGCAGTGTTATCCAGCGATGACTATTCAGAAATAACAAAATACTGCGTGTGTGTGCACCCAAATTACTACAAATTTTACTAACATGAAAATGTGAGATACACAATTGTCATGTAATAATACATGCAATTTGTTCTACTGTTAATTCTGCAAGGCCAATGAGAATGTACAGAATGCTTTCATTGATTTTGTAACAGAAAACCAATGGTTGCAATTGATCAATAAATAGCCCTCTTATGGTTACTGACGGTCTAAGTGTTTTATGGGGATTAATTCACTCACTGAAGACAACCTGATAAGGTAGATAACACTTTTTAAAATTAAAGACTTTTTTATTTTTATGTGTATGGGTGTTCTCTCTGTGTACTGTGTGTGTATGGTGCCTGCAGAGGCCAGAAAAGGGCACCAGGTCTCCTAAAATTGGAATTACAGAAGGTGGCTAGCCACCAAGTGGGCACTGGAAACAGAACCTGGGTCCTCTACAAGAACAACTAGTGTTCTTAACCACTAAGGCATTTATCTAGCTCCAGAGATCACTACTACTATCACTTTCAATTTATCAATAAACACCATGACAAAAAAGTATTGTGTGGATTTATTCAACACTATACATTCAAAACACATTAGGTCTAAATGCCATTGAGATAGGGTGATCGCTGAGCAGAAATGATGAGCTAAATAAAGAACTATATTACCACATACACCATGGTGGGAAGGGCTGGAAGAGGTGGTGCCTAACACACACACACACACACACACACACACACACACACACACACACACACACAGTATATACACCCCAAGAAGCACTACTTCTAAAACATTTCCTAGCCAACTGACCCAATCAATACTTTTAAAGTGTCTTGTCCATACAAGACAATGAATTATTAAAGAGACAGTTAATAATCCTTTAACAGTAACATGAAGTATAAAGCCTATAAAACTACCAGAAGAAACAAATACAGCCACATGCTGCATCATATCCAGAGCACCAAGCATAATGAAGAAAACAGTGGACACATACTTCAGAAACTCATCTAGTAGAAACTCAAGGGATACAATGGAAACTCAACACAGGCAGTCATTGCCTCAAAGAGAAACCATACTTTTATTTGTCATATTAAAAAATATGCAGGCTTGAAACAGGTGAAACAAAATGGCAGGAGCTCAATCAGTAGTACTGGTGAATAAAAAAAATGCAAAGGAAGATCAAGTGTTCTTTATATGACATAATATATGAATATCTTATTCCTAATAGTGAAAAGACTTGTTAATTTCTTACAACAAAATCCCCCTGCAACCTTTAGTGTCTTTGAATATCTTCACAAACACAGAGCTTGGAATTCTAGGCTGCAGTTTATACAAGGGTCAAAGTCAGCAGCAGCCTAGCCCAGAGTGGGGTCAAGGAAACCAGCAAAGCGGTGATGGGTGGCACAGTGAAGAAATGGCTATGTCATCAACCTAACTGCCAGGCACTCTGAGGATGGAGACTCACTGGGAAGGTCAAGGACACCTACTTGATGACTGCTTTCGACCCACGAAGGACATACCATCTCACATAGCCCGAAGCCACTCTTCCTCCACAGATTAAAGTATGTTCTCTAGCCTTAAATTACAATTTTTACATGAAATAGCTAGGTACCAAACTCAAACAAGGTATATATACATTTACATTTACCCTAAAGCCAAGGAGGAGTTTTAACAGGAGACGGGTTGTGAAGACGGGGGTTGCCCATACCACTGAAGCCCCAATACTGACTTGTTAGGAGTTGTAACGACAGGGTGGGGAGGTGGCCCAGGGGGTAAAAGTGCCTGCTGTGCCAACATGAAGACCTAAGTCCAGATGCCCAGAACCCACATAAAGCCTGAGAGACGGGAGGCAGGGACAGGAAAATCCATAGGAAGATCCCCATTTGACCATGAGGACATGTTATGTCTGTCATTTCCCTCTATTCTTGTTAAGGTCTCTTGAATGCGAGTTTCCTGGTAGCTGTTAGAATGAGCTTTTAGATTCCTCTGGGTTCCTTACAACTTAAAAGGAAAAAAGTAATACCTGCCTGTGTGTGTCTGTGTGTGTGTGTGTGTGTGTGTGCACATGCACACATGTGCACACTAGTTTGAAATCAATTAGACATATGCTTGAGTCATTTTGGAAGGGAGAACCTCTTCCAAATGCCCCCAACTAGATTGGCCTGTGACAAGCCAATGTACATTTCCTTGATTGATGATTGAGATGAGAGCGCCCAACAGACTGTAAGGACAGGTGGTCCTTGGTATTCTAAGCAAGCTCACTGAACAAGCCAGAAATCTGCCCTCCTCCAATTCCTCTGCATCAGTTCCTGCTTCTGGGTACCTGCCCTGCTTGAGTTTCTGCCCTGACTTCCTTCAGTGACAGACTAGAATATGGAGCTGTGAGCTGAAACAGACCCCTTCCTCTCCAAGTTGGTCATGGTGTTTTATCATAGCAATAGAAAGCCTAGGATGTTTGTGAGCATGCTCTGTGAGTGGA